ATTTTTGGAAAATGGTTCTCTTTTTTTGTTTTTTTTTTGTTTGTGAAATTGCCCCCATTACCAAACACGACCTTGGTTCAAAGTTCTTGCTTTGCAAACTATATTCTACGTCTTAGCTGTGGCTGGACATGGCCTTGTTGTGCCCAATACACATGTTTTGTTGTGGCATGCTCTTCGTGATTGTTACATTTTTTTTTTGTTTCCTTCCATAGGCTATCATCCTGTGTGCAAATATGGTTTATTTCTTTGAAATGTGGAGATCATCGTTTAGAATTTTGAGCATTATATATCGGTTCAAAGATTTTAATTACTCAGTTGGTTTCAATTTTTTGATCTGTCAATGTATGAATGATGCAGGTTCCCAAAAGGGGTCCCTTGGGTCCGGTATCATGGGTTTTACAAAGATCTTCATATTAATTTAGTTTGGCCTGGAAAAGATTCATCTTTAGGTGAGTCTTTGACTTTCATGGGTTTTGATTTCTCTTGTCAGGAGATACAGAAATAATTGTTATTATACTTCCCTTCATCGTCTATGACCTTGTCATATCTCACCAGGACATTATTGAAAGGGTTTACATGGTTATCAGACTTAAATGTGATATAGGATCTTTAAGATTCTAGAACTAGGCTGCATGAACTTAAGTATATTTGTGGCTGGTTTAGTGTAAAAGGTTTGAACTTTTCTGTTTCAATGGGTATAAAAAAGAATAGGCTTTCAGTATGCTAGGGATGGAAAACCTTGTGTTTGAATTGCCACTCCTCCTTCAAAAGTCTCATATGTTATGGTTGTTTCTTCCATTTGGTCACTATTGTTTAATTAGAGCACAAAAAAAGTGGTTTTTGTTCCATTGTCGTGTACCTCATCCTCAAATTTTCTTTCAGGAGTTGATTGTGTAGGCACAGTTTCTGCGTCTCTTGTGACCTATGCTGCCATTCAAGCGTTACAGCCAGACCTAATTATCAATGCAGGCACTGCCGGTGGCTTTAAGGTATTACCAACTTTTCTCTTGTTCTTGTACAAGAAGAGTTCAGCTCCGTTTTCATTATTCTCTCTCATTTGAATATTAATTGGAGAAGTTGTTAGTATAAGGAAAATGTGGAATCCTCTTCTTACAAAGGACA